TCAGATGTCCGAAATATTAATATAATCTTTTCCTTATTTAAATCCCTATTCTTCACAACTTTCTTTATCTTTCTAACTCTTAATTTTCCTTTTTTTAATTTCCTGATTTTCCTGCAGGAACTTGCTGTCTATTATGTGGCAACTTAGGGTTTCTAAAATGTGGGTGTTCTATAAGTCCCTACATATTTCGAGGTACATGTATAGGTATTTATGTAAATCTAAGTACAGTAACAAGGATATTAGTTTATTCAGTTGATATAAAACTTAACGCAGTAAGCTTTTACTATATTTTGGATATAAAACAAGGAAATATGGACTTACACTCTATACAATAAGCTAAATTATCGTACACCTAAATGTGATTACGATAAAAATTAATATGCAATAAAATTATTAGTTAAGCATTTGGTGATTTATGTGCGCTTAGTTTCGGATGTCGGACCTATTTCTATTCGTGTTATGCTAGTCTATGAAATAATTTATGCCCGAATTGAATAACCCATAGACTTAATAGACATAGACTTTAGACTCGTGTTTTAAACAAAATTATCTCCTCTACATGCTGTAGCCTAATAGATCCGAAAATACTCTTATGTCAATAACTCAAATACTTGTAAACAATATAGTTTCCGACATGATCTTGATATGTTTTGACATATCTGAACAACAATAAATTATCGACGCTCATACGCATTATATTTAAAACTATAACCAAAGCCATCACTTACATTTCAATGGTCTATTATTATTTTAAGATATCAATTACTTGCCATTAAATAAATTGCTATATCGTAATAACATGGATCGTTGGATATAACATATTATTCAGTCGATTGTAAAACGTGCCAAGGACATACATTTTATCTATAATTCATAAATTTGGCACAAGTAAATAAATCCTTTTAAAAACAAAGTTGAACCGACTTCAAACATAACAATTAGTTAGTACCTACAAAGAGCACTAAAAACCTAGCAGCAATTGCGGTTCATATGCTGTCTTTTTGAAGAGTTCCGTTGTCTGTCTCCCAAACTCGTCATCAGATCTATTTGAAATTTAGATGGGACCATTTCGGATAAAACCCCTTTCGAACAAAAAATAATTTTATAAATCAGTCTATATGTGACGGAGTTATGAACGAACATACATAAAAAAATATATAAACATCCGAATTGATAACCTCCTCCTTTTTGAAATCGCATAAAAACTGTAATCGTAATTTTATTTTTACTTTTTTCCAACTCGAGCAGTGAGAAAGTAAAAGTTATTTAAGTTGGAAGTGGTATGGTTTAGACTCATTTATGTAAGTTCTGTTTCAAACATTTTCTAAAAAAATAAATATAGTCACAGTTTTCATATTCACTATTACTTTTACCGATCCTAGAACGCAAGGATTACTTATTATTAACACATATATTCTTTTGATAAAAATAGTGGCATGGCAAGAAATAAAGGAATAAATGAAAACCATCGTAATTTCATCAGTGTTAAATTTTAATAAAGGAAACTAGTTATTCATAAACTTATGAATTTCTTTCGGAATTACTAAAAAAAATAATATTGTGGATAATTTAGTGCCTATTAGAGTAGGGTCGCCTTTCGTTAGTGGATCTCTGGTGCTAGCTGTCGAATTTGGTGGAGTTCAATTAACTGTTGGCAACACGTCACACGTCTTTGCGAGTGGTCGTGCGGAGAGCGCATTTTGTGGAATGTTAATGTTTATCGCTTGAGATTTCACATTGCATTGTTAATTTGATTTGGTTTTTTATTTAAATTTAAGGTAATTTAGTGAACTTTGTTCATTGATTGTTTGGCGCCGACTCAAAATTACTTAGGTATACTTACATTAGTTTAAGAACTTAGTTATTAAGGTAAAATATTATTTTATTTCTTGATTTTCAGTTTTTTTCCGCTTTTTAATTTTTTTGTTAATGTTTATATTTCATATTTTTTGTGGCTATAATTTACTAATTACTACATGCTTAATTTTTGATTACTTTTAAAATAGCTACCTACCTTATTATTTGTAATACACAACTCAGCATTAAAATCTGTGAGTGAACAATAAATCACCCCTATTTTCCCACCCGTAGGGTAAGTTTTTTTTTCTTAATGTATATGGGACCAACTTCGAGGTATAAACTATAAAATAAAAAAATAATTATCAAAATCGGACTACTCTTTAAAAAGTTATGCGTGGTCATACATTAAAATCAGTAAGTGAACAATCAATCATCCCCTGTGTTCCTACCCTTAGGGTTGCATTTTTTTCCAAATTTATATGGGACCAACTTCGGGGCATACCCTTTCCAATAAAGAAAGAATTATCAAAATTATGCGTGGTCGACTTGAGAACCTCCTCCGTTTTAAAAAAAAAACAAAATAACATGCAGTTTCAGTAAATGGGACAAACTCGGGAACAACTGTCAAATTAAAATAATTTTAAGTCCTGTTTATTGCTAATAATTTGTACACATTTCTTTGGTACAACACACTATTATTTTAATTAAATGTACTATATTTAATTTTAATGAAATAATGTCATGCTTGAAGTTTAGAATGGTCAACAGTAAATCCCATATAAAAATATGCAGGGATATTGGGCTCCTGTGAATTAAAATTTAATTGATTGACACAAAATTGTTATTGACAATATTAACTGTCCGATATTGAGGTAATTATATTGTTATGCAACCATTTTCTGTTAATTATATTTGGGAAAATTTGTGATACTAAGTAGTTTCATTTTAATTATTTTTTGTCGAAACTAAATCTTTTTTTTGTAAGAAGATACTTAAATTATAATTAATTACAAGAAAGTGACGATTGACGTTACAAGAAAAATATTTATGAGCTGTATTATATCACTACTCATAATTGGACTTAATTAGCTAGTTCTAATGAGTAATATCGTAATTTCAGAGCATTTTTACAATGAAAGATTACGTGAACAATTTTTTTGAGATAAAGTATATACTAGGTTCTAATGTTTTGTAGTCAGTGTAGTGACAGATTAGGAATACAGAGTGTCACCACCCCTACTTATCTGACAACAGCACCACCAAGGAAGAAAACTTGAAACAAACCCTATGCCGACTCGTCTGGCCAGCGTAGTATAATAGGCCAATTCCTCCTCTCTAAGAGCGACCCAGCAGTGGACTATCAAGGGCTGTTGATGATGATAAATGTTTTGTTAGCTGAAGGTTATATACTTTGCAGACCTTAAAGATTTATAAAAAGTATGTACAACATTTTAAAACAATCTAACTAACTAGGAATAGGAGAAACTAGGAATAAATCCTGGACTTTACAAAAAATCATTCAAACTTACACAAAGAACACCAGCCTTAGAACAACAAGTTGTTTAAGTGTTGTCCCATGTGGGGATCGAACCCACAACACTCAGCGCAGTATAATGCGGCGAGGTTCCCGCGTATACCACTACGCCACCCATTTCAAATAGAGTTTTAATTTGTAGATTACTTTTTTAAGTACCTATATTAACATAAATTATAAATATCCCTTTCATTCAGTCGTTGTTTTTTCATTAAAATGTTCTTATTAACATCACCTAGTTGGCAGCAATGACCGAAGGGCCAATGGTTCGCAATGCATGAACGACATTGTCTGTAAAACTCAACGTTTAAGAAATTTGTATATTTGAAAACCTGTAAAATAGTGTGTTGTATTACTTGGAAATCACAATATTAATAAATACAAAGATATGCTTTATTTTATTATTTATTACTTACATCATGTAGTTAATTGGTTTCTTTTAAATAAAAATAATTAATTGCCTTATTTAAATGATGTACACATATTTTTTAATATGTTGAGATTTCATCTCTGTTTCTTTTAACGAATAGTATAAAGCAACATTGATAAATTAATCAAAGATACTGCGAGATGTAATTAACGTTTCAACGTTTGCGTAGAATTTACTAGTAAGTTATTTGCATGTAAAATGAAGAAAACGGGTGCACAAGTGAAACTTATCTGAGACGTATACAGTTCAAACCGAATTAAAAGACTACCTCAACTATGATATGTTAAAAACATTTCCCCATACAGCGATAAGTCGCCGCCAGTTTTCAACTACAAAATATGAAGTTATAAGACCTCTTAAAAGACATCTTAAAGTGTTTTTCCGTTACCTATTCCGTAAGCCCGTACCAAAAAATATTATCCTATAAAGCTAAATTTATCTACAGAATTATAAGTATGCGGCTTAATACAAGCATTCTTTGATTCAGTTGAATTAGAATCGTGATTTTAAAGGTATAATTTTTTATGGTAATTTCAACTTGATCTCCACGGGTTTCTAAGAAAAACGATGGACATAAACCAGCAGAGCCACTTCGATTACAGCAAAAATATTCTGTACCTTTGAGAGGTCTATTTCCAGCAGTGGACTGCGATATACTGGTGATGATGATGAATCTGTACCTTATATGGTTTAAGTGACTACGAAAAAAGAGTTCATATCTGAGATCACTACATTGATATTTAAGGCATCCATGACAATTATTCTCTTTATTTTCACACCTGCCGCATGACGTCACCTGTGAAAACAAATAACAGAATGATAAATGGATATGTCGACTCTTGCACTCATGGTATTCTGATATTATGCGAATGTCCTTTCATACTCAGATACTCCTGATGTCATACGAGTTAATTCTATCTCCTTTTAGGAAATAATTTGTAAATATAAAATTTTGCACGAACCACTCCAAACAATTATTTCACTTACTGAGGTGTTAAAAACAGGTCGGACGATATTTAAAGGACACATTTTGTACTCACAAATAACATATTTTATAAATAAAGTTGGCACAAACTTTGCGTTCCGACGGTTACACAGTACAATATTTTTCAGCTATAATACTTCTTACTGTGTAAATAATTACACCAATTATATAATTTCATTGTTGAGTTATTGTGCCTGTTATACATAGTTTAACTCAAGTTAATATCTCTGAATGCAAAGAAACGTAACACTATGTTATGTAAAGACCATCTGCGCTATACTATTAGTCACGAATGCATATGGTCGCGCCGGCTGGTCAAATGGGAAACTGTGTCAGTGAGAACATTTGTTAGTTGCACACACGTCACTGATTACGTTGTTCGACACAAACACTCGTACTACAAGGTTCAAGGGGAGCCGGCCAGATCGCCGTCTCGTTCTTTCTCTATTTATAGTTCCTTGACTATTCCGATGTTTGCGCTCAGTGCAGAAATGTCCGGAGTCGCGAACGACCAAAAACCCGCGCGGCGACCCTCCCTGAGAGCTTCCCGCAGGAAAAGCGCTCGGGAGAGGAAATTGCGCGCTCGCACTGCCCGTACACTGCACCTCAGTGAAAATTCTGATCTAACTGCGATAGAGACAAATTAAAAGCATCGACGTCAAACTCATTAGACGATGCAATTCCGCGCAATCGACACACACGCTAACTTATGCAATCGTTTTCAACATCAGTGCCTGCTTACAGTGTAATGTTCAGTAATCATTTTACAGTGCGGGAAAGTGACCGGTGTTCGCCTGTGGATTTTCGTTTTTTTTTTTAATTTGCTCGATTTACCGTATTACATTATTTATTTGTAGTCTACAAACAAAATTGACATTGGTGCTATTTTAAAGTGAATGCCGGATCGTTTCAGTTGGCAAAATGCCAGTGTGTGTAAGAACAGCTGACTGTAAACAAACAAATTAGCGAGTTGACAATAGTACATATGGTTGACTATGATCATTTATCTATGTTGTAAAACTTAGGATGCAGAGATAAAATGGCCAATACAGATTTATCCAGTGATAGTGACGGTCCTATAATAGACGATAATGTGATTCGCATTCAATTAAGGAAACCAAAACAAAATAAATGGGAATTGCGAACACGAAATCTCTCCCCTGGAATAAAATTTCCAACTGTACAACTTTTTGATTCAGACGGTAATCTTCTAGTCGAAACAAATGATGACAATGTCTCCATAAAGAGCTCTGATTTTGACGATATTTCGTTTAAATCAAGTAAGTCGTTAAAAGAAAAAGATTTTCGACATCTGATCTTCAAAAGGCCTATTAAAAAGAACAACACAATTTCGGGAGACAAAGTGTATACTCGCGTTTACAAGACGTGTGTTGCGACAAACGATGACTGTAGGAAAAATGACAAAAGTTTTAATATACGAGATAGTAACAGTGTGGTAAACATTCCTTGTAAACTGACAGTAAACAACTACACTAATTTACAAGCAAATAGCTTAGAAACCACGCCTTTTCAGTCCGAAGGGCTCAGTGAAATAAGTAGTTACAAAAGTTCAGACAACGAAACTTGCGGTCAAATAAATCAAACAACCAAAACAGACAAAGAAATTTCTACGAAATGTTATGAAAATTCCAAAAACGCTCTTAATACTCCGCTTACGTCTTTGTCCTCACTAAACAATAGTGATCAAATAGTTGATAACGTTTTATCTAATGAAGAAAATGAACCTGATATGTCCCTCCATAAATCCAAATCATTTAATGACACGGCTTTAAGAAACTGTGTAAAAGGATTTCGCAGTGATGTTTTGCCGCGTTCTAAATCTGGTGTTGTATACAACCCTCCTCACAATAAAATATCCTTCCTGAATACTTACTTAAAAAGCTTACAGGCTCGAGTGAGCCTTAATCCGGATTGGTTTACATCACATCGGCGACGAATTGACAATCCTCCTAACTCCCATATAACGTCAGAGCGTCACAAAATTACAAAATCCGCCAAAGAAAACATGTACCACGTGTGTAAAACTGAAGATATAATGTCAGACAGTGAATACATTAATGTATCAACCGATGATGCAGCTAATTGTGAAATGAAAAAGCGTCTTAAAATGTACAGACGTGGTATATCAGAAATAGCGCCTAAGTACAAAATCACAAATATATTTACGAAAAAGAGAAGACATTCTGTAAGTGGCACGTTTCAAGTTGTTCATACTTCCTCTTCAGAGAGTGTGGATGAAGCTGACGTAGTACTTAACCGCTTGAAGAGGAGGATACTCAGAAATAAGTTCAGAGAGAAAAGACGGAGCCTCGGTGCGAAGTTTCAATTCGGTAAGTGTTAGCTTTTCACATTAAACACACACATATACAACACAAATAAAATTTGTTAGACAACGTTAATCCCTACTTAATATTATAAAAGCAAAAATAATCCTATCTGTCTGTGACGCCCAAACAAATCTAGATCGCTGAACCTACACCTACTTACAAGGTGGAGCCTCGGACAAAATCCAGTATGCAATAAATAAGTGATTATGACAGATTTGTAGCAACATTTGCGAGACAAAACATGATGTGCATTTGTTATCCGAGGTGCCCGCACGAATTTTTATTAGCAGAGCTCGTTACGTAAAACATTCCATTCCATTTTATCTAGAAAATATGATTCAGTGCCGAAAGTACTCAACATTTTTATATCGGTGTATTCTTGTTTTATTTAAGAGGAGTATTTTTACAGTAACATTGATAGCAAAATAAATTATGAATATTTCATTGCGAGTTGTCTACTGAGGGCCTAGTGTGAGTTTGTTTCACATCAACTCGCTCTTAGTGAAGATATAAGTGACTCACACTCACAAGACAAGACTCAAACCAGGCTCTCTGATTTCTCACTGAGATTTTGTAGCAGTAAGCTTAATTGACAGTCCACATGCGCTTAAGCTTACAGTTTGAGGTATTGAAAACCTAAACAGTTTATACCTTCTATCTCTTTTTTGTTTTATGCACAAGTAAGTAATGGATGCATATAACTTGAAAATTACATAAATTGATTTATCTGTATAAAGAAGGATGAAGAAGGAAGGAAGAATCCCTGTAGAAAATAAAAACTATACTCACATCATTAAAGGCTTAAAACAAACCTGCCAACAGACCTAAAAACTGAAAACAGGGTTGTTTAATTACGTTTATAACAATCTTATCAAGAATAAATAGCAAAAACAGTCATAAATTCAAACCGTGGATTAGTTTGCCAATAAACGATTTTGATTCGGTTTACCTATGTTTGTGTGACTTAATAAATCTATCTATTATCGTGTTGGAATCTTAGAACTAAAAAAAAAACCATTATTATAACGTTTTTCAATCAGAGAAATGAATAGGTTTTTATATCATTTACTACATACTTCATCATTCACATATAAATATAACTATTTCGCCTCAAAATGTACGGGCTTAAAATATCCTAAAACACGCACGCACACGCGTACTCAGCTCATCCATTCAAGAAAGTTATATTTAGATAATCTTATTAGATCGTTATCAGTCTTTAAAGCTTGTAACGTAATCTCAACAGCTACTTAATAATAGAAGCATCATTTTCAAAATTTGAAAATGTCCTTTAAAATCATGAAATACAACACTTAAGTATCTAACATCGTTGTCAAACAAACACACAATACGCCTAATAGTAACCATATCTCGAGCGTTACTTGAGATTCTAAAATACAAATCCCTATAAGACAGCTATAGTAAGGTATATAGAGATCACGGTACAATCTTGCGAATCCCAAGAGATGCTGCTTACATTTCATTCGATCAGTACCAAAGAGTTTATTTATGTTTATAGTTTACTTATACAAATATAGGTGTATACTCAAAAAGCAGATGGAGCCAGGGGGATCCAGCAGGATGTAAACCACCGTTACAAATACTGGCATTAATACATTTGTTGATATAAAGGTTATCTGAAAGTCCATTTTAAGGATATGGCTGTCTTTTGTCCTTTGCAAATTATCTATTAATCGTACCTACTCAGTAGACAGCCGCAGGTATCATCTCAAAATAAAACAATTTATTTAAATAAACCATTTAGAGTTAGACAAGAAATTGCTTCTAAGAAAAAAAAAAGATTATTCAGTATTAAAAACCTTGGGTCCTTATTCCAACAGAAGCCAATGATTTAATCACGTACACACTTACACAAGCATAACCATCCTATGTCTATTGCATAAAAATAAGTGAAACGTAACGTACCAAATATGTATATAATCCATCGCTGATTTCCTGAGTCCCCTTCGGTTCAGGATCTGTAAATTCTGTACCTACGTCTAATTTATAATAATTGTATTAATGTAAAATGTGGCACAAAATGGAGTTTAAAAATATAGCTGCAATTCACATTTTACCAGTAACTAGCATCCAAATTAAATTTGAGGCTAAGGGCCATATTTAATCGATAACTAATTTAAACGAAATTTGAACAATATACAACACTTTGAAAAGAAAATCAACGATGCAATACACAATAATTTCTTAATAACATTCGTAATAAATACCTTTGAATATTTTCAATATTTGAAATAAGACACTAGTTTTTCAAAGAATTCACTAACAGAATAAAGAATAGAGAATTGAAATACCATATAATAATACACAAGCAATTGTCCCCCGTATTAGGTCAAAGAATCACCCCAGTTACTGGGTTACTAACATCAGCTGGAAAACATGAGTGATTCACTCCTCTGTCCCTATTTCATCATATTCCTACCATATGTATTTCATTCATGTGCGTATAGGCGACGTACCTAAATAAATAATCCAAAAGAACGTCGGCACTTTCAGTAGATACAACCTTTGTTCTTTTGAGATAGGAGAACTGGACAAAGGGACAGGTTATGTTAATATTACCCAAACCTATCTACATTCCATTTATGTAGGTATGATTTATGGAACTACTGTCCCGCGTACATTTACCGTACACATACATGTTCTTTTAAGGACTTATAAGACCTTTTTACTTACTTTTGGTACATATTCTCTCACAAAAACACATTATGTATTTTATTTCCTACTAAGTGGTAAAACGCTGCCTTAGGTGGGCCATATTCAATGGCCATGGATTCAATCTCCTCCTCCTTTTCCTTCAACCTCTAATTCCTCTTCCTCAAGCAAATTAAGATATAACTATCGTAACGACATGACGTCGTCCTTTCGTAGCTACAGTGACTTGACTGACTGGACTTAAGAGTACAGTACAGTAAAGTACTTGACTGGTTTCGAGCTCTCACAGCTTACATCTCTGCTACACACAGCTCGCATCTCCTCTCCGCTACGCAATACGCATCTCCTGTGCTCTTTGGTGAAAATAACCTACCAGCTTCGCAGCACATCTCCTTTCGTCTCGTCTCCTCTCTGCTTTGGTTGATACCGGGTCTTAGTGGTGTGGTACGGTACGCGACTGCAGTCCATGGGGACTTGGGTTCGATTCCCGGACCGGGAAATTTTTTATAGGGTTTTTCTTAGTAAAATATTATCAAAATCGGTAAAGCCGTTCAAACAAACAGACAAAAATATTTAAAGTGGTTTTTAGGCATAGGTATCGTGCAAATAACCGCGTGGGCATGAAAAATACCTGTTATTTCAACATTACAAGTAGACACTTCAATTTTATTTGTACGTAGATGTCTTACGGTACAGATTTGTACTGAAAAACTAAGATTTATAGTCAATTGTTTTGTCTATGACCAAGCATTTAGAGGTTTAAATTGTGAAGTTTCTAAATTTAATGCTATCGTTGTTTTGTGTTTATTAAGATCCTTGAAACCTCAACGCAGAGGACGATAATTTAGAAGTCTGGGTAATAATGAAATATTTAAAGACTTCCGTATTAAACTTCTTTTTTTGAATTAATAATAAAATTAACGTCCTTATGTTCAATGCAAAGTGCTAAGCAGCATGCCGCTGCGTTGTTCATTTATATTTTATTATTTAAAACGAAATTTAATTTAATATTCTAGTTTCATTTTATGGTAATCAATTAATTGTACTTCAGTATTTATTTAATGAAAGTCACTTAAAGTTATTTATTATAAAAAACATAATAATATTTCTTTTAAATCTTGAAATGTCTAAATTAATCGACAATCAATGTCTTGGTAATTCTATGAAACTAAATTATAGAGAGTGAATTATGTGTCTCGTTTAATAGTGCCAAAGCGGTGGACTTCCATTCAGATTATTTCAAAAAAGTATACACAATTAGTTTTCCGGAGCAAAAGGAGTGGTCGACCTAGCCGCGCCAGAAATTAGGCGTCAAAAAGTCAAATGTAATAAAAAAGTTACTGGCGCTCCAGGAAACTATAAAATCTGGTACTATTTGAGAAGCACAAGGTCTCTAGTTATTGTTACAATACTAACATAGGTAACAGTGTTTATTTTTTACTGACCTAAAGCGGGACTATAATAATTGGAGCTATTTCACATAAATTTATTATTACAATTTACATTCTACATACAGTAAATTCTCAGTTTAAGAGAACCATTTAAGCCATAGAGCTTTTAAAAAGGTATCACGGACTTCAATGATCCTATCATGATAAATTCTAATAAACCGTATTTTTCATTATATAAATTTCCAACTACAGGTATGATATTTTTCTTTAAGGAATGGGAACAAACGTGAAGTATTACCTCCCAATAAAAAATATTTAAAAAAAATTGTTTAAAAAAACTAAAAAACGCGCTTTTTATAGAATAGCAAACTAAAAAATAGAAAATAAATTTGAAAAAAAGCGTGGGGTGCTTTTTACTAATGACAACAGACACCCAACGCTTTTTTTCAAATTTTATTAAAATTTCGTTTTTTTAATCTATTCTTTTTTTTAAATTAGTGTATTGTCATCGGTCCTCGATATATCTACAAAGTTTGAACGAATTCTAACCGTTTAAAGTCAGTCAAAATCGCGCCCAAAGGAGTCGGTTAAAAACAAACATACAAACACAAACAGACAAACATACAAGTGAAGCTAATATAATGCGTGTAAAAATAACATTCGAAGTCGGTTAAAAACTACTCTGATAAAATGTAAGTTAACGTCAGCCTTATCTTCAGTGGGCTTTCACGGAGATTTAGATTGAGATTTAAAACATCAATTCCTATAATTTTAGTATTAAATTGACTGATGTTTCTTCCGAGTATAAGTAACCGTAGTAACTATCATAAAACACCCAGTCATAATTTATGACTTTGTAAATTTGCGCCATCTATTTATCTGTGCTTAAAACTTTTAAAATTTTCTTACCTAAAATGGAAGTGCAATAAAAGTGAAACCTACTAACGCCA